ACCAAATGGTAAAAATAAATCATGCGGCAAAACCGTGCCAGGGTTGCAAATTAGGCTCCGCCCATTTTTCCTCCCAGATGGTTCTTCCCACTTTTTGTTTTCCTCCCAGTTGGTGTGCTCTCTAAAATTTTCGGTCCTGTTTTCTCGATTACGAATGCTTATCGACAACTTTTTTGTTAAAAACCTCCAAACAACTACGATTTTTGTATGCCAGCATAATAACCCTAAAGAAAATAAAGCTAATAGCGAACTGAATCAAACAAAGACAAACACTAGAACAAAAACGATCAACTTTTTTTATTCAGGTAACATATAAATGTATTTAATCGGATAACTGCAAAATTTCGCAACACAGCTCATTGCATCTAAATCGAAGCTTGCAATTTGATGAGCCGATGAGTATCGATGTCTTGCTTCTTTAATTCTTTGAGAATCTGAGTACTTCTCAAAATGGAACAAACTGCCTTGAACATTGGAAACACTTCATCTTTGGGATGAAGGACCAACAACTTGTTTTTAAAATAATTATGTTTGTAATTCTCCAGTTTTCTCTCAGAAAAGGTTCTTTCCGATTCCATGACTTCCTCCAGATTTTGGTTTGGCACTGAAATCAAAAATATGAACAAGCGTAATAATGACAATTCTTACATTTCTCCACTGGATCACCAGTGTTGATAAAGCATACTCCTGCAGTTTGAACCAGCTCATTATCAGAAAATGCATCCTTATCGTCAAGAATTCTGAAGGTTGTTTGCATCAACACTTTTTTCTTTGTGATTGGACGATCTGGATAGCAGAAGATGAGTTTTCCAAAACACTCAGGAACGCCAATCGGTTCAACTACCGCTACATTTTTCGCCAGAAGAAGGTCATCAGTGGATACGATTTTGAACTGGATTTTACCATACTTATCGGCATAAAAATGCTGTTCACAATCAATCATTTCAACGACATCGCCCACATCATTCAGCTTTGCACGATACAGTCTGTTAGCTTTCATGTTTTTTACTTTCCTGAAAGTAAGATAATATAACCGGGAATCAAAAAATCTGGACTCACCTATAAACAGATTTTTCTTTCACATTCTTCTTCATGAGATTCATTCCTTGTCCTTTAACTCGGGGAAACACTAGCATTCTGATAAAATCTCCATCATGAACAACCACCCAAGCGTACTTCCAGTCCTTATTATCAATCAACTCCTTATTATGCTCCTCATCATTTTCAGCTTTGGTATCCATTAAATCTTGTAGCAGCAAGAATTCCTTTATTGATTCATGGCGGATCACATCTCGAATTCCTGGTTTGTGCCATGCCTGATGAAACTCCATCAGAAGTTGGACGTGCTTCTGGAAATCAATATTTTCACACCGTAGCATTTCAAAAAATATACTAACCGATGATTGAAATACTTTCGAGACGACCCAACACCATTCACCTCTCTCTGGGAGATTCCAAAGTTTGATACCGATTCGGACACCCGATGAGCAATCTTTCGGTAGTTTATTCTCTTTGTCAATCTGAGAACAATTTGTAGATAGTTTCAAACAAAAATTCTTATGTAAACTCACAATTTTTCCAATGAAGCTGTGGAACGTTTCCGGATTGAGACGTTCTGCAGACTGTGGGAAGTAATCGTTCACTACAAACTGGAACTCGAGAGCGCCATTGTGCACGCTTCCTTCCAGGAGTTTTCCTAGTCTAGTCATATGTCTCGTGCACTCCCATCTATCTTCTTCATCTTGCTGAAAGACTCCATCGAAGAAATAGCCGGGGAACAATTTGACTTTTTCGTTGTTTCTCTCTTGAACAACTTCCCCAGATGTCAACAAAACTGATTGTCTGAAACAAACATTTAAAAATCTTTCTTCAAAATATCTCTTCACCTATGGTCATCCAATAGCCACAAGAATGCTCTCTGGCTTTTTTCCTTTTCCTTGCAACCGAAGTTTTGTTTTATAGATGTTACCACAGCCCTTTTTCTGACCTACAAATACAATATATATTTAATCAAAGCCCTGCCTATACACACCGGCTCTCCTTTCAAAACACGTTCAGTATTTGGCTTTCGAGGAGCTTCTTGATTCCTTTCAGATTTTGGAAATGGAGGGGGACAACCTGCCAACGGTGGCATGAATGCTTGTGGATAGACAAAACCAGGGTAACCCGGCATTGCTGCGACAGATCCCATGGACATCGCTCCTCCCATCGCGTGGATTAGTCCCACAGGATTTGGATGACCCATTTGCCAATTGATATTCGGGGGACCGAAGAAAAATCCAGGTGGATAGGCACAATTATTATTGTTACCATGCGCCAAACCGTTTTCTTTGGACTGTGATGATCCTTCTTTTAGAAATCTGTCATTCTGTTTCATCTCATTTTTCTTCTGATTTTTGTTTGTCTTTCGAGACGTACGACTATCCTGAAACTAGTGAGAAGGTTAGTTAATCGGTTGAAACATTTTTCAGGCATACATTTGAAGAACTACGTTCCGTAGAAAATGGGCTTTCAGATCTCGAAGTTGATTTCCTTGATTCTTTAACAAACCAAACTGTCCATTTTCCATCACTTGTTCTGAACGGTTTGCGTCGTCTGATGACCAAGTCAACCGTCTCTGATCCTTTTCTAATCATTTTATTTCCATCGTCGACGAGTCCCAAATAATTATCCTCGATAGAATCGCCACTTTTATGATTGGCTGGGAGTGCATAGTCTTTGATTCTCACTTCCAAAACTTCGCCATGTTGAGACACTTTATAATTACGAGGATCGGGAATTTTTCTCCATGTCAAGATAGAAAATGTTGGCGTATTGGCTTTTGGATTTGTTGGGAAATACTTTGAAAACTCTTTTTTGTTGAATTCTAGTCGCACCCAATCACCGACATCCACAGAATTATTTTTGTTGCAAAACACTTTGCCGTCAGCTCCAGGATAAGTGAGATTACAGAAAACGTATCTCGACTGTTCGCGTTGATTTTTGCCAACTACGAATCCAAAAATATGCTTCTTTTCTGGCATTTTTTCTCCAGACTTAGCAACTTTAGCTTTCTCTTCATCTTTCTCATCGTTCACTTCTTCTGGAATCGAATTTTTATTCGTTTTCTTAGCTTCAATTGCGTTTTCTTTTCCAACTTTTTCCACAATTCCATCCGATACGCCTTGCCATACAAATCTGGAGTAAAGACCAGTCCGCTGGTTTTCTGGTAATCTAAAAAACGTCTACAAAGTTATAAAACTCAGGAATTTTGTTGTTATTCTTACCTCGAAATAATAAGCTGATGTTTAGTTCCAATTTGCCCAGCAACCTTATCTTTACATGCAACCTCTCCAAAATCTTTCGTTTTGTAGAACAAGGCGAGCTTGCTGGATAGAATTCCAGTGATTCCATTTATCTGAATTTATGAACATGAGACAAACTTCTGAATAAAGCCAACCTGAACAGAATCACTCTCTACTTCAGCTTCTATTTTTCCCGTACCATACTTCTTTACGAGAGAATAGGAAACCGGCACATTATTTTCGACTTCTATACGACAGAAACTACCAAGTTTAACAATATTTTTATTGAGAAGATCCTCATCGATATCAAACTCAATGCCGTCTTTCGGTCTGGAAGAAATAAACGTTGATCGCAAATCATGAATCTGAAACTTACGAGACGACGATCAAAGACCCATTAGGTTTCCTCTGAGCAGCAAGCCCTATCATCGTCCTCTACTTGAGATCTTATTATCGTTTGATTTTCCCGTCTGAAATCCTTGATTTATCATAGAATAATAGAAGGAATTTTGTCAAGGCTGAGAAAAGCAGTAAGAAAAATCATATTGAGAAACTACTATGCTTGCGGAAAATCAATCACATAAAGTGAAAAATTTTTTTGTACGCCCCCTCCTTCCACTGCATGATGGAAGATTGGAAGTCAGCATCTGAAAAATATGATAAAATTCTCGGCTCAAACCGATGAAAACGATGTTAGGAAAGGATGCTGGATAAAACGTTTCAAGATTCATCAGTCTACTAAATACATTACAACAAAAGTTGGAAGAAAAACAATTGAAACCGTAGGGGAAAAAATGAGACCGGTAAATTAAGCCCGTTCTGGAGACTGGAATATGGCATCAAGAAAAATAAAAATATGAAAGTGTGGAGAAGAAAAGTTAAATAACATAACAAAAAACATGAGTACTTTCATGATTCGTCGGAAGTAATTGAGGAGCGTTTCAAAGGTGGAGAAGTCGAAGAATGTTCAGAAGATGCAGAACTTATACCGACGTCTGAAATTATGTACTTGAGCAATGTTAAAATTCACGCTGAATTATTTACTTTGTGGGGGAACATTTTTCAGGTTGGATCTGTTATGAAATTGATAGTTTGAATGATAATAATCAGCGACAATATATGAAGTACCTTGAAGTGCATAAATGGTCCATTGAAATCTCTGAAAAAAAATGGATAAAGAAATATAATTTAAAAACAAAAGCTTGTGAATACCCCGATGTCAGTAACCGGGTCCGTAATTCTCTTGCGATAAATGACAGCTGAATAAGTGACACCGGCCTGAAAATATATAAGATTGATCTTCAGTTTGCGTGATAGTCGAACCGTAGGAGTTGGGATACAACCCTCAACATCCAAAACTGTGGGGAAATATTTTGAAGTATAAGTAGTCCGATTTTGACGGTTTGGACTGCCTAGTGTCAACTTAGTTTCAATCTGAAAAAATAACATAGCTTATATATTCAAAATAAACAAAACAGACATAAATTTGATTTTTGTTGACACGACAATTGAACGGCGCTTCCTTCTTCACTCCACTTTTCCATAGCCATCTGAATCCTAGTTGCTGCATTGGATCGGATTTTTTCTCAAGCTTCACGTATACGTAATCTCCGATTTCGAATTCAAACTCATCGTAGATGAAGTGAACTGAAATCAATTTTACTTCAGATTTCTCATCGAGCTAATAATAATACCACTTGTGTTGAAATTATCAAACAACCATAATATTCCGGCTTGACGCTCTGGAATGTATTTTTCGACAATGGCATGCCCTTCCTGGAAAAAGAGCCTTCAGATCAATAGAACAAAAATTACGAGCTAAATCTACATGAAGTTTTTATCAACATGAACATACCAGCGTGTTTTCTAGAAACACCCTTGACTTGGTAAATTTTTTTGTTGAACTACTGTAATTTGAAGGTAAGCGAATGGTGTTTCCTATGTAGTAATCCCGTCCTTGGTGAAGGTATTGGATTTGACTCTGTGGTTGTTGATACTTGAGCATTGTGATTCCTGTGTTAACGGATGCTGACAACATTGGCACAGCAACATGAAGGGTTTGTTGTGGTTTAGATTGCGATGCATGGTTTTCTGAATTTCAAAAAAGAAGATAATTATTTAATTTTATGTAAATCACTCACGTTTCTCAATAGACATAACATGACAAGGCTCCATAGCATCTTTGAGAGGGATTGCTTCCGTTTGCATGTCCTTCACTTTTTCCACAGTCACATCGGAAAAATTGACGACTTTTGAGGAAATAACTGACCAGCAAGCACTAGAGGAGCGCCTGAGTTTGGGAGAAATCTTCTCTAAAATCAGCTGCATATGAGCTCCCGAAACTAATGTCGAATTTCGATCAATCACAAATCCAAATGTTGGCAACTGATAAAGCATAGGATGATCTGTTCCTGTCACTAAAATACAAGATATTGCCACCTGAAAAATAAGGCAATGTTGAGAATCGAAGACACTCCGATGACTTACTCTTATCGTTTTATTCACATTCACAACGCCAATTCCACATGGGCTGTTGATTGGGAGGTACTCTTGCACCTGAAGACGAAATCCCGGTTTTGTTCCTATGTATTTTTCAAGATCCTTCGAGTGGACATCAAACTGAATCCACTGACCGATCATCGGATCCAGCATGGGACTTTCCACTTCTCGATGTTTTGGTGGCTGAGGAATTCTTGCAGTATGATCAGTCTCAATTGGAACAAACGGTGACCAGAAATTCAATGTATGCTTGCTGCTGTGAACTTCCGTGATCAATCCCAAGTTCCGAGACATGTACTTATCTGGACATCGGAGAATTTCTAACTGAAAAAGACATCATAGATATTCAAATCTTTAGAAAATTGATGTTTCAAAAACTAACTTGTGATCGTTTCTCTTTTATGAATTCTGATATAACTCGAAGTTCTTTTTCTCTATACTCGTTTCCGTCGTGACTTTTCTCTTCGAGATAGAACACCATCCAAGAACATTCTCTCACAACGCGACCGCAATACTGAATCCAAATAGACAATCTTCCGTTTTTATCTTCTAAATTCGAACGGAAGACGGTGGGGGCAAGAACTCGTCCTAGTCCCGGAATTCTGTAGAACTCAGCAGTCAGTTGCGGATCACGCTGGAAAAGGAGAATTGTATATTAACTTTACCCCTCAAACCTCGAAAAATTTAGTAGATGTGTTGACTTGACAGGGAGCCACTACTTCATCGTATCTTACTGTCTAAATTAAGATGTTATGAAGGAAAAATAATTTTCTAAACCTTTTCGTGCTGCATATCGGAAGCGCATATTTTTAATAGTAACTGATTTTCAATAACTTTTGTCTCGTATCCTTGCAAAAGTAAGGGCCATGGAGAGTATGATGCCACTGTTCCGTCTGGATATATGCCGACAATGATCCAGGTTCCCAGGTGAATTCCCTAATAAAATGTGATTTAAATCTCCAATGAAACTGGTATGCTCACTATGAACATGTGTTGGTCGGCTTTCGGAAAAAATTTCTTTTCGCATGCAGTGAAAACCCACACTCCGACTTCTGTTTCATTGTCTTCAACTATAACTCCAAGAGTGTTGATTATTGTTGTCACTTTCCGGACTCTTGGTTGTGGAGGTGGTTCGTTTGCTCGATCGTTCTGTGTGACAAACGTGACAGTACATGGTGCCAGTGGATCCGTCGGTAGAGACGGGCACTTTGCCGCTGACATTAACTGAAATTATTAAAAAAAACAATAACGACTATTTACTCTCTACATGCAGAAAATTCCGAGCTCAAAATAAACTATTAAACATTTTTTTCAGCAAATTCAGTATGTTTCAGAAATCAAATCTATGGGGTTATTCACCAACATGTAGAAAAATTCGGAGAAATGGAGAAAATTCCGCGATACCGCGGAGAATGAACCAATCTAGCTGAAATTTCGGAGAAAATCGGAGAAAATTATAGAGAGCATATTCACAGAATTTGGGGTCACAAAATTAATTTTGAAATTTTGGCTGGAATTCCAGACAAATTGGTCAAAGTGGATAATTTGACCCCAAATTTCGTGAATATGCTCTCTATAATTTTCTCCGATTTTCTCCGAAATTTCAGCGAGATTGGTTCATTCACCGCGGTTTTGCGAAATTTTCTCCATTTCTCCGAATTTTTCTACATTTTGGTGAATAACCTCACTATTCTAAGATTGTATTAAACTCTAGAAAACTGAAAAAAGTCACATTTTCTGTTTTGGAGAATATCGCTTGCACGGTGGGTCTCGCGAAGAAAGTTTTATTGTAGGACAAGGACAATATCCCGCATGTGCCTTTAAACATACTGTAGGTAATTCAAAAGTGAGAAAAGTCGTAGAATTTCAATAGTTTTGCGAAAATTCTGGGAAGTTCAAACTTTTCGGAAGAAAAAAATTTTGGGAATTTTCATCTCAAAAAAGAATCAAGTGTATAAAACTAATTTTCAGGGTAAAACTGTTAGGTGGTAAATACCTTACGTTGAATTATGAAAGAGCACAAATTAGAGGATTACGGTAGTTCGTATTTCAACAAAAAATTCGTTAGAATTCCCAATTTCAGAAAGTTCTTTTCTTAAAAATATTCACGAGAACTGAGAGAAAAATCCTTTTAAAGAATTTTTTACAATTCGAATCGTACTTGGGAGGCCTTTGAACACTATGCCAAACAAATAAAAAATGAAAAAGCAATATAAAATTTAAACATGTTTCGGATACTATTTATGAAAAAGTAGAGAGATGAACCAGTGAAACGCACTCTTTTTCAATTGAAGGCATTGTGATGCAGATTTTTTCGAGTGGTCCTTGAATGGAATCGAGCTTTTGAAAAAGTTTTTACTGAAATTCTACAAGAACCGAAGTGTATTCAGATAATCAGTTTGAATTCCTGGTACCTCCTGCTTTTTTCTAAGAGCAATGAGTAACCTCGCTCTGTTGTATTCTTCGGTCACTAGCGCTAGTACCAGCGCTTGTGTGTTAATCAGTGTATCATGGTCAAAATGGCCACATAGAACAATAGTACATCTTCCACAACGATGAACTTGGAGTCTAATGGAAACCTTTAAAGGTTATTTCAGGAATACAAAGGACAGTCGACTGCAGTCTCGTCCTTCCCCGTATATCGATTTTTCGTCCATTTTTACACTCAAAGGCACATGACTCAGAATACTGCACTCGTTCCACCAGCTGCACTAGCAAAACCTGCGATAAATTGCTCTTGACAAAAAAAATCTGAATATCATCAAACGTTTCAAATTAGTGTATGTATGCTATAGCAGAACAGGTGTGCTGGACGACATCTGGCACCCATCTGTCCTATTTAATGCTTCTTTTTCTCATCATTCTCTTCTGGGTCATATACAATGCACCTCGGAACCGCATAATATTGTTTAAAAAATATTTAAGTGTTTCTTAAAATCGAATCAGGCGTATTGAAGATAAAACAAAAATTGACTTGATTCAAAAAAAACCTGGTAAATCATCAGTTATTTATTGTTTTCTTCTTTAAAGAAACTATTAATGACCAGGACCGACAGACATCTCTAGCGTTTTATATATAAGGAAGATATCAACTCTCTTTGAGTCGGTGAATTTTATTATTTTACTTTTCATGGTCCGGTTACTCTCATGGTTCATAATAATTAGGAGTATATACAACACGAAAGTTGTATACAGGGTGCGGCAAAGGTCTTTGTGCATAAAAAATTCGTTGTAACTTTCTTCTAAGTGATCGTAACTTTCTGAAACTCTCCAGGCAGATTATTCTATTGCTGAAATTTAAGAATCACTTTGATTTTTAGAATGATAATTTTTAGCTTTCCCGCTAGGATCAGAAGAGTGGTTGATTACACAATACTTGAGGCACAAAGCTTTTTTCAAGTTTAATCTCGTCAATCTTTCTTACTGGTCATGGCGGGACTTTGAAACATTGATTTTTAAAAACTATGAGTCCCGTTTACAATGTTCATAAAACATGAGACTATATGGTTCGATAATCAATGAAACAGGATGCGTTCAAACTTAGTTTGTTTGAAAAATCTTAGTTTGAAAAATCTGTTGTTTTGACAAAAAACTTTTCGAAGCGGCAGGAATTCGAGAGGATTTTCCAAGAATTAGGAAAATTGTATTTTACGATAGGGTAAAAAGAGCTGGTCAGAATAATACAATGTTTTGCTTATCTGTCTCATTCATAAAAAAATAAAGTTTTTCGAACTTTTGAACGGTCAGCGGAAAACCATAACTGATCAGTAGGTACTGATCGGAGTTGACGAAGTACCATGTTTTTCGAAAACAACAGTTTATTTTCATTATTAAAACATAGTGTGAACGCTCCTAATAATCTCTGTTCGGCCATAAGCCATGCTGGAGAAAATTAAGAGGAAGTTGCGTGCCAACATTACCTTGAAAAATGACTTTATTCGTTTGAAACCTATGATGGTTAAGCAAATTTTGTAAAATCTGCGTTGTGAAATAGAGCATCAAATGTGAATTCGAATGATATATAAGTTCATTAAGCTAGTCACTTAACCAGAGCGATATTGAAGCGAAAACTTAATTTTCATCACGTTTGAGAAACCGATTGCTGCTCCGTGCAAGAAAATTCTACACAAGAGTTGTTTTGTTTTTCAAGAACTACAGTTTTTGTAGTCCACAATAAAATATATTCCCAAAGAATTTTCCTTTCTGTTTACTCACAGCCTACCCTCAAACTCAAAAAACCGTCCAAATAAAAGTAGAAATTCTGAGGTGCCGAATTCAAATAGTTATAACTTTTGAATAGGTCATGAGATTTTTTTTTCAAAATTTGACAGATATATTCAAATAGACTTTTAGTATCAACTGCAAATTATTCGGGTACTGTATGACAACTAGCAATATGGATGATTTTGCTTCAAAGTTATGCACAAAGACTTGCCGCACCCTGTAGATTACAATAACTTTTGAAATATTTATTCGATCGCTCTAATTCCACCAAACTGCAATGTCATGAACACTATAATCGCATATTCGCTCTTTTATGATATTTATGGGGTTATACAGATAATAAATTTGCAATAAAAATGACAAATAAATACTGCACGTATGCAAATAAATTAATTTATTTGCATCCAAAAAAATTTAATGAAAAATTTAAACGAATTTAATTGCATTCCTGGGCGTGATTTTTTTGATTCCTCAAATTATTTTTGAACCAAATTTTGATGGAGAAAAGTGTTAATATGGCGAAAAAGCCTCATGAGTCTGATATTGTAACTGGAATATTTGGGAAAAGTTATATAAAACACTTGGCCTTATAGGATATGACAGCCAATACTCGACAGAAAAAAGTTGCTGCTGCTCTCCTACTATTGCAGGAACAAGAATCCGTTTTACTTACTGTTTGTCGTCCGTGTCAGTTGGAAGAAGGGCTTGAAGTGATCCGCCAAGACCTGTTTTCTACTTTTTTACGGTTGAATCAATATATGATTTCGACCGAACAAACGAAAGTGAGAAAATCGGTTGAAAATTTTTATAGAATAGTCTTCAGAAATATCTGGGTGTGGAACTTGAACATTTTAACTTTTTGCGAAACCTTTTTTCTGACGACATCAGTAGAATCGATTCAATTCCAGCTCCAGTCCGTATTCATATTTTTTTGAAGTATGCTAGTGAAGGTAGAGAAATGTATATATCACTAGACTCACAAAGATAACTTTAGGTAGATCCCAGAACTATCTGGCTCAGGATCTTGGTATAAGTCAGTCTACAGTGTCACGAATAGTAAATAATGTAGTAGACAAGCTGGTGAATATTGCAAAGGACTATATATGTTTCCCTACAAGCATTCAACATCTAAGAGCTCTTGAGAGAGGATTATTGAGTAAAACTGATGCAAATGGTAATTATAGAAGAATTCCTTGCTTTGGCATTTGCGACGGCAAACTATTTTCAGATTGCTCATCTTCCATATTTGAATTTGAAAACTGTTGCTGATTACAACAATTATGATAAATCGTTTGAAAACCCACATAAACTGATACGTGTCTGCTGATGAAACAAATAAAAAGAAAAAAAAATCACGCCCAGGAATGCAATTAAATTCGTTTCTTGGATGTAAATAAATTAATTTATTTGCATACGTGCATAGTATTTATTTACATTTTTATTGCAAATTTATTACTTGCATAACCCCATTAAAGAATCATTTTTAACCCGGACTTATTTTTTTGGGTTCAGACTGGATTTGTTACAATTTTTGTTTTTTTCTGAAAATTGAAAATTGAATTAGAACAATTTTTAAATTTAAACTTCGAACTTGAATATATATATATATTTTTTTACAATCTAACAGATCTAAATAATTGTAATCTTCCTAATGAAAACCTGTCTTCTGAAATCTAGTATTTTCTTTTCCAAAAATGTCAGGGTATATCAAAATCATTTGACATTGATTGAGATCATTATGATTTTCCTCATGTTTTCTTTCATATTCATATTTTTGCCTAATCCGATAATTCGGTATAAGACGAAAATGCTATTTTCATTTTTTTTGTATTCAGTTTTTTCGGACTTACCCAAAAATTGTTCTTTAATGGTGTAGGTCAAAAAACAAAGAGGGAATTTCAAGGCCAAAACAGAATGATCTATCTGTCATGTCTAATTCAAATTTTGAATTCCCTTGGTAACGTTTTTGTGAATTTATGAAAACCCAAGAGTTTTAATGTTCTGTGGTATGCTCTTTGTTATGTACTATTTTTTGTACGAAATTTAAAAACACCTTCATAACTTGTTTCTTGTTTCTCGGATTCCATAAAATCTTGGAATTTATTTCCTCTCCTTTTCTAAGAAACAATTTGTTTTGATCATAAGTCCTAATCCTCAACTATATGACTTATATAATTTTCATTATTATCCCTCCTTTTCCCATATGAAAAATGACGTTTTTGTATTTTGGATGTAAGCTCTTCTTTCGATTTTCACCCCTGCCCCCGCAATCTAAAACATCAACCATAAACAATTTTTTTTCGTTTTGTGGGAACATAAAACTGCGATGTTTCGTTCCCTATAAAAGCTGCCACATCTCCCTCGATTCATCATTTGTTCCTCTTCGGAGAATATTTTTTTCTTTCGGAAAAAAAGTTTTTTTTTCTGCTTTACACTTATTCTGGCAGTGCTAGGCACTGACGGATGTATAGAATGCTCTTCCTCGTTCCCTGCTTTTCTTTTTTTTTCATCTCGATTGCATTCGTTTTTCTGCCTCTTTTCACATTTCTGTTTGACTCCAATTCTGATCTTTTTAAACTACAAAGTTTTTTTCCAGAAAATTCCAATGTCTCTTCGCGAAGAGGGAGTCGTTGTTTCCTTGTCTGGATCGAGATTTGTCCTAGCCACCAAATTTGGTGTGAGTTTAATTTCTGGAATCATTCTCAACACTCATTGCTCACTCTTTCAGACCATATACGCCAACAACGACGAGCCGGTCAAACTTGGGGATTCTGTCACCTTCCACCTTACGTAAGGCATAATTCATCCAACTTCAATATCTAACATTATTTTATTCAGAACCACACTGAAGCCGTGTTTTGGAATAAATATCAAAGCCCAATCTTCGAAATTTCCAACGAAACGATTTACCGAAAAATCGGTACTGGTCCAATGCGAAATCAAGAGGAACATTGATGGAACCGTCAATGGCAAACGAATTTTCGAAACTAATCTCCTACCTGTGAGTTTGTTGGTTTCTCAATTGTGTTCAAATTTTTTTGTTTTCAGGTTGTGCAAGAAGGACACTTTTTGGGAAACAACACGAATTCATTTATTAAAAAGACTGTTTGGGTGAAGTTCTGCGGAAATGAAACGAAATCCAAGTGGGAGATTCAAGAAATTGTCAAGAATGTAAGTCGGTTTGAAAAGTTAAATCTATATTTCCGATATTCAGGACAACGATATCATTGAAATCCTTGGAATAGTGTATCATGAAAAAATAGAAATCAATTCTGCAAGAGTATACGTCCCGGGTTATCCCGAAGATTTTGTACTCCGAAAAACGTCGTGGGTTTTGTTTTAAACAATTCATGTTCTTATATCGTATACATTCCAGAAGCTTCCGGCCATCTACGGCCTTGGATTCATGGGTGTCATTCGGAGTTTCTTCGTCCAACTGTAATGTGGATTACACACATCCAATCAAGTTGCAGGAGTGCCCAGTTGAGTGGGAAACTCAAAAAGGATCTTTGGTGAGAGAAACAAAAAGTTATTCGAAAACTCATGATTAATTATAGATCCGGAGTAAATGTTCTCGGCAACGGAACACAATTCAAACGTGTTTTGGCGATATCGTTTCAGATCCGAACGATGAACTCGGTTAGTTTTTTTTGAAACATGATTACTAGAAACATTTTTTTGTTTCAGGACGACTAAACATTTCTGGTGACTTTGAAAATAAGAGAATTTGGATTCACCTATCTTCGAATTTCAATAATAAGCCTAACTTTGTTGTTCACCAAGAGAAGAGGACGTCCAATGGAAACCAAGTTCGTCTGGAACATCGTCAGCAGACTCATCAATTCGTTGACTACAAAAAACCAGCTAAGAAAACATCCGATCCATCTGGTGGAAGACCAAGAGGTGCACCTACTCCAAGATTGACACTTTCTTACCAAGATGAACCGACACAGTAAGCAATTATAAATTTGACATAAAATTATTTTTTTTCTTTTAGCTACAATTCCTCTTCCAATGATATGCCACCACCACCTTCCAGAAGCAGCTCATCGAATCGGAGGTCATCTCCTCCAAGTGGGCGTCAGCGTACGACTATCAACGGATCTAATTTCTATACTCGAGACGAGTAAGATTGTAACAAATAATCGACTAATGAAACAATTAAAGTATTCAGATCATCGTTTACGCAAGAAGTTCCGCGAAGTCAATCACCTCCACCGCCAAGATCTCCACAAGAGTATGAAGAAGTTATAGCTGGCCAACAAAGGAAGATCAACGCTCTTCGAACCGCCTTTCTACAAGAAACGGACCTTGGATTGATCCTACAACTCCATTGCCCTTCGTTCCTGCATCAATTGGAAAATCTAATTTTCCAGAATTAAGGCCTACGGGCCGACCGTTATGCTTGTGTTCATTGTCCTTGTCAGTAATTATTTTTCTTGTATTAACGCATTACAATGTTTTCCTCTACTGACAAGTTTCCCTTCCCAATTTTTTGAGATTTATAATCTATTACAATGACTAACAACTAAAAAAGTTTCAATAAATCTTTGGCTGAGACTTTCTGTGATTATTTTAAAAAATCGAAAGTTTTAAAAAAGACATCACAAAAAACCATTGCCGCACTTGGGTTCAAGCCAACGGGTCAAAAACGCGCCCCAAATAACTTTTAGGCCAGAAGTAATTTAATAATTTCAAAGTTGACGTGGATTCGACCTAATTAGTTTTAATCAACGAGTTGCAACGCGTGATTTTTTTTTTGTCCAACATTCAAAAGTTTTGTCCAACGTTCAAAAGCTACATAATTCAGCAGCGAATTTTTTCTAAATTCTCATGTTTACTGGGGCGCAATTTCTAACCCATTGGCTTGAACCCAAGTGTTGCCGAGGAAAAGAGCGCGCGAAAGAAGAATCAAAGAAGAAAAAAAATCACAACAAAGAAATCAAGTTCAAGTATTGACATCACGACGCTGAGTTGGTATCTCCGTCATCACGACGTTGTGACAGTACGACGCTGACGTGAACCCCCGTGTTTTTCGAACTCTGTAATGAATATAGTACTTTGCGATTTTTTATTGGCTCTATATGGTACTCATATTCCATGCAATTTTTCTTGTTTCCTGTATGATACTGTCCTTTTTTTCATTGTTGAATAGTCGAAATACTTTTATTTTCAAATGTTCGATTAATTTTTAGATACATTTTGAATAAAAAGTTTAGCTTAATAAATCAGTAGTAGCCTAAAAAATCACCTGGAACTCACTATCAGAGCAGTTAATTTTAAAAGTTAAAGAAGGTCCACGTAAAATATCAAATATTAGAGAGAGGTTAAAATTTGTATAAAAGAATTCCAGTTACTCGTTCGTGACTTAAAAACTTTTCAAATTTTCTTTTCCTCACCTTTCATTCCATTTGTTCCCCCTGTCATTTTAATTCCCCTTTCTAACTTTATAACTCAAATATGTTATGTTCGGTAACTCTATATCTATATATTTAAATTGTAGTACCTGTTCAAATAGCTAAACGTCTGTAAAAAAGTTTTAAAAAACGTCTTTGGGAGATTTGGGTTACTGTAAAACCTGTAATAGAAGGACCCCCCCCCCCACACTGTCAAGTTCGAGCTCAATTATCTCGGTCTGTATACGATATATATGTCAACTGATGAAATGTGTTTGATATTATGATAAACTATTTATCAGTCGGCGAGGTTTTCATATTTTATACAGGAACCGAGATAAATCGGCTCAAAGTTAAAAGATAAGGGTCCTTCTATTGCAGTTCTACTGTAATTGTATCTTCTCAAACTATCAGTTACAATGAAACTTTTTTTTGTTTTTTGAAAAGTTCCTAATATATTTTCAGATTAATTCCAATGATTTGAAGAATAACCACATTTCTTCTAATAGGACCGATCGTCCGAAGCACCAATTTGACCTCAATCACCTCTCTTCAATTATGATAAAAGATTTTATGCATACCGTAAACACTCTGATAGAACTCCCCGCCCCAAGTGGTCACTTGAGCTCCAATATCTTATTTATAACTTTTTACTCTGAAATATATCTGAAATATATCAAAAAGAGGTTTACTGATAAAATGTTCATCATAATATCAACAAATTTTCATCAGTTGACCACTATTAAAAATCTTTTACGGGAACCAAGTTAAATTGGCTCAAAGTTAAAATTAAGGGGTACCGTTCTACTACTGGTTTCAGGATATTTCAGATTTCAAATGATAAGAACAAAACAATTTGAAAAGTACGTCATGCTTTGCGATATGTTCTAATATTGACTCTTTTTCTCTCTCGTTTTCCACCCGCAACAATTGGTGTGAATCTCCTGCAATCTCTTGTTTCCGGTCCTATCAGTTGTGTTCTTTGCTCTCATTCAGGTGCAAATTATTGTATATCGTTCTAATTCCAAAATAAATAAATTTTCCTTTTTCTTTTGTTGTGTGTGTGTGTGTGTGTGTGTGTGTGTGTGTGTGTGTGTGTGTGTGTGTGTGTGTGTGTGTGTGTGTGTGTTTTCTGTGTTGATCTATGTCAGGGCACAATCATTGTGATGTTAGACGAGCCAATGATAGGGGAATGATCAAAAACGTGTTTCGGTCACTTTCCGAACGCTTAGATTCCGATCATGATTAAATAGACCCACGCCTTTTTCAGGCACTCAAAAATCGGAAAAAAAAGAGAAAGAGAGAAGAATGCATGACGAAACGGGAATGTGAAATCATGCCATTGAATGATAGAGTTTTGTGGAAAAATCATTGAAAACTATCTGGTAGTGGACAAATCCGAAGATTCTGCGAAAATACAAAAATGATGTTCTTCAAATGTGGGTTACTGTAGTTGCAAAGTCTTCCAAGAAGAACGATCATCATTTATTTCAACAACTAGTTCCAAACTCGGAATTACTCACTGAGAATATAACTCTTTTTCCAGTGCTCATATCTTCAAAAACTAGTCAAAACTACCACCGTTTTTCGTCGCTGATGTCATTATAATTCATTTTTGATGACACATCAACTTCAACTTTAACATTGGACTTCACATTGGACTCACTTAAAAATAATAGCGTGCGTCTGTCTTGTTTCCGTGCCCGTCTGATGCCGTCTTTCTGCTCCCACGCCAAACTGACCTGTCCTGTTTTGTGTGTGTATTTGTGCATGTTTGCAAATGAGTGTCTCAGGCAGACACAAATTTTTTTTAACGACCGGAGTACTACGTGTGCGAGCTCATCCTTAAATCTCCGAGACGGACTTTGTTTACTTTTCAGACCAAAAGTCAACTTGTGCCCCCTCTCGGCGAATTCATTGGAACAATTAGAGTACTCAAGGTGGGAATATGAAACTGGAAGTCATCTGAAAAAAAAACGTGTCAAAAGCAAGGAAACAGAATGTGGGCATAGAAAACAAAACAAGGTTACTGTAGCCAAAAACAGCATAAAACATTACAAAGCTCAAACCAAGTTTCCAATAGCTAAGAAGTCAGCAGATATTAAAATTGTGATATCGAACAAAACTTTGAAAGTTTCAAGATGCCTTTTTTACCAGATGCCTTTATGACTGTACAAAAAGAAAGTTATGAAGTCTAGAACCCATATCGCGGGACGCGCTGAGTTATTCGAGATTCTCATTGGTCCCGCAAGGCTTTTAAGCTCAAAACTTCGAAGGTATTCCATTGGTATGCAAAAATCGGAGCTTTGGAAGAGAAAATATAGTGACCGCGGCCACGGCCAGCCTACCGTATTTGGCAAATATTTCTAACTTTCATAATTTTCCTCTTTATTTTCGTCCGTTTTTCTGTTTTTTTTTCCGATTAAGACAACTTTATTTTCCGACTTTTGAAGTTTCTTGACACAAAAATCGTCAGAAAAAAGGACCAAAAATTTTAGGTTACGTAAACGGTTACGGTTTGCTACGGAGACCGTTATCCACGCCCACAAGCTTACGAGCATTATGACGAGTTCTGGAAACTTGTCATAATGCTGGAGAACTTTCAAAAAAAGGTGTCCTTAATAGTATTAAGGTATTTGCACAGTGAGTTTTGGTGAAATTGGAAGAAAAAATTACAGGAATAACAACATTGAAAAAATCCCACACTGTGTTAACGAGATCGTATGCCAGCAGAAATGAACTAAAATTTCAATTAAAAAGTTACTTTGAAAATATTACAAAACTTCAAATTCCATGTTGCATATGAATTGTTTTCAGTTGAGTAGCTAGCTTTATCTACTGTAATGGCATGATTTCATTAAACAGAATCAAAAGTTCAGAGTGTATTTTAAAGAATTCAATTCGTACCTTGTAGTCATTTTTCTCATTGCCATTGTCATTTTGTTCTTTTTTCTGTGTCTGTACGCAAGGCGCCGCGCGTGCGGAAAATCTCCGAAGAGGAGGAGCAGCCAGGAAACAAACAAGGAAGGGCGGGCACGTAACTTCTAATCGACGTGGCATCATCTCCTGAAGACTATAAAAGAGGTATTGGCCCAATGACAGGTACCACCTTTCTTCACTTCCTCCTCTTTACCAACTTCCAACTTTTTCTTCCAATTCATTCTTCAGTCTTTTTTTCTTTCTGACAATGTTTAATCCTACTGTTCAATTTAAAATTAAAAATTTTATAGAATCATGTCTCGCCGATTTGCTCTTATTGCTCTGTTATTCTCTGTTTCTTTTGCTCAGTCCACAACTCAGCAATCACAACAAATCAGTTTGGATCCAAATGCAGGTTCACTCAAACTTCGCATCGTATTCCAACCTGATCAACAGCCACAGGTAATTTTTAAAACTTGATATTTCTTCTATAATTCTTTTTTAAAGGTTCAACAGTCCCCGTGTTCCACTGGCAATTGCCAATCAACCCCAACTTTGAGCCCATGTGCTTCTGGAAACTGTGGCGCTATCCGTCAACCAGTTCAAGCTTCCCCATGTTCCACTGGAAATTGCAATGGACCCGTTGCCGGATCAGCTAACATTGTTCCAGCTAATGATGTCTCGACCTACACGGTACTTTTAATACAACACCTTATTCATCATAAATAGTATACTTCAGACCACGACCCCAATGCCAGTGACCATCCGAACTGCTCCAATTGTCACTTCCAACACTGCTTCAATTAAAGTGATCCGTATTCCATCATATTCCAACTCTTACTCTTCTGGATGCTTCTCCCCACCATGCGGAGCTCCAAGATTCGTCTTTGCTCAGCCACCATGCTTCGGAAACTCGTGCGGACCAAGATTCATGTTCCCACGTCGTCGTCATCACTTCTTCGGAGGACAACGGCCAATTATCATTGGAAATAGAAACAATGGAAACACAGTGAATGGAGGAAATATTGCCATTCCAGACACCATCTACAGAAATGGACAAGCAATCAGAGCTCCAATCCGTGTTCCAAGCAGCTATCAAGATGGAAACCCAGTCTTCAACACTGGAAAGTAATTCTCCGATGAGCCCATCGATTTGTTTTGTTTTGCTCCAAATGTCAGAAATGACACAATGTTTGTAATTATTGAAACTTTTTTCCCATTATTATCTCATTGTTTGTTACTTTATATAATTTATGAGATTTTTAATAATAAAATAATTCATTTCATTACTTATCATAACCCGTAAAAATAGTATCAATAAAAGACAAGTAAAAAAAAGAACATTTTCAAAAAATGAGAAAACTGAACCCGTAAAAGAATAGGCAAGCTTAAGAAATTGTTAACAGAAATACTCTTTGTTTGAGGCATACATTGGAGTGCTGTTGTTGTTATTACCATTATGTACCAACGGTTCTTCACTTCGGCTCGGAGAACAGTTTTCACCTGGAATTAGTTGTTTAAAGTTGTGACCTAATTAACCATTTATCATTGGATATTATATTTCAAAATAAAAGTTGGAATGAACGAAAATCTAATTTTAAGAGTTTGATTTTGAAACCATTTTTCTGATTTGAAGAGAAGATCAAAAATAATATTTCAACCAAAGTTTCCATTCTGCAGAAATTTGGTCCGCCAACCACCAGTCATTGACCAGTCAGCGCATCTCCGACTGTCATTTAGCAGTCGTTGAACAACCTATTTTTTGAGGCAGTTTGATGCGAGGAAAATCAGCTTCTAGATTTATTGCGGCATGATATATTGTTTTTTGGCTGATTTCCAATCATAATTTTCAAGTCGGTTTTTCAAGGGGTTCCGATTGTCCGTCAACAGTCCGTCGACGGCCCATCGCCTCCCTTTTGGCTGCCAACTAGCAGTCATTTGCCATTTTTTCAAAAGCATTGAGATAGAAGCTCCGCCCTTACACCTTCTAACCATATTTAATAGCATTTAAAAAAAACCAACCTGTCTCATTGGTTTTATAAACTCCTTCGGGTTGTGTTCTCATGTAGCATATTAGTGCACTCATGCACACTATGAAGATGAGTAGTGCGAAAAATCCACCGACCACTATTGAAAAATCAGAAAGCCATTATTTTCAACCACAG